CGAGGATGTAGCAATTTGGAGCGCCAAGACTGCAATCATACGGTTCAATGTCGTGGAGATGCACCACAACGGCCGTGTGAAGATGCGGTTTAGAATGCATCAAGAGATACCCAGCGATCTGACTTGTTTGTCCCCGTGGCATCTCAAAAGGGTCGACGCCCAATATGGACTTACCAACTGGAAAGACTTTGCTCTAGAATGGTGTAATATGTGGCATAGGCGTCACCGACATGTCTTACAATTCCCAGTTTTTCTCAATCATGGTAATATGCGACACACGGATCAGTATTTATCTTAGTACAGATCGGTTAGTAACCCCGAAATGCACGTGTCTCATCCAAGGTATTTGGTTGACCCACGAACACAATGGGCACAACCCTCATTTTCCCAACAACAAACCCAACACACATCAACCTCCCACCAACCCCCAAACGAAACAGAACCACAAACACCCAACCACAGTCGCCACCACAATACAATTACACCCACATGCCCCACAACCAACCACAATCACCACCTCAGTACCCATACCCCCATATGCCTCACACTCAACCGCAATTTCAATCACAATACCAACACACCCGCATACCCCACACACAATTTCAGTCTTCTGCATATCCCAATATGGGCCCCTCAACATCCAACCTTAGCCCTGATCTGTAAATGTCAGAAGATTATGAACCAACCGACCCAACTTACCATCAACCACAATATCACCAAACCACCCAACATCCTCAATACCAAACACCCCAAGATCCATTTTCTTTCTACCCCCCGTACTCAGACGACCAATGCTACAGATCAACCACGGAACCCCACCCACCGCCAACACGACCAAACTTTGAAGATATGGGCAACCGACTCTACCAAAGCGGATCTTCTAGATATAATACTCCCATTAACAGTATATAATACTCCCATTATCTCAAATTATATATCACTTTATCAAAAAATATTTATTTATAATTTATTTTACAATTTCAATATATTATGAATAATTTTTATTTAATATATCTTCTACTATTTTTTTCCCTCTTCTTTCTATTCTTTTAATTTTACTTTCCAATATAATTATTGAAGAATATTTTTATGAAACTATATATATTATTTCACTTTTTTATAAATTAAGAATTATATTTTTTAATTTGTGTAAAATTCGAAACATCTTAAAGGGATGGAGTATATAGTTACTAACTTACACACTTTATAACATTATAAAAAAACTTTAATCATTCTTTATAACTTTCTTAAAATATATGCTATCATGATCTCAATTCACAAAAAGAAATACTTCACTATTTTCTTATGTAAGAATATCAACAAAATAAATCGAATGAAATGCCAATGAAAATTTTCAACGAAAGAATTGTATATTTTAATAGAAGAGAAAATGGAGATGTAATTCAAATTTTTCCCGTGTAATTTACTCAAATTAATTTTGTATAATAAATCATCTCTAAATCATATTTTAGTTTTTTTTCTTATACAAACTACTCATAAATTATATCAAATATTAATGTTGAATGAAGTTTTAAAATCTTAAGTGAAAGAAGAGAAAGAAAATATATTTTGAGATTATTAAAAAAATTATAAATCAAATTAAGCACCAAAATTGTCTGATTCAGACTATTTGTGGATATCAGGTTTGATCAGTTCAGTTTACAAATCCGTTCATTAATATTAGAATGCTGAATATATATTTTATATTAACTAGAAGGATACTCATACGTTTTGTACGAGTACTGATTTGAACCGGACTGAATATACCAGACAAATTTAATATTTATTTTTAAATAAAAATAATTTTTATGTAAAATCAATAATAATTATATATATAAGAAAGAAAGTATTAAATACCATTTTTATACGACATAAAAAAACAATAAAAAGAGTAAAAGATACATTTGAATAGTTTATTTGAAAACTATAATACTAATTTAATGAAATGGGGTAGGTAGTTTTAAAAAAAGTAATAAAGATATAAAATTGTTATGATTTGGTTAGGTTAAACCATGGAAATAAAAATATATGACAATAAAAAAATGCTTCATTTTAGTAGAATATGTTTTCTTGTCATATAAAGTAGTAGAGACATAATTAAATGTATATATATGTAAGGTATGATAGTCATTCTTCTACCATCCTTTCATTTTCCCTATGCAAAAGGCGATTCTATATAAACCCTTGAACTACTATTCCGCAAGATCTTCCGCCGCTCAGCAAGAATGGAAGGAGAGTCGAAGTCAAAGAAATCACCAATCATCGTAGACAATGAGTCAAGGTAACAGTTTATTGTTTATCGTTGTTTATTATCGTCTGGTTTTGCTACACGTGTAGTACAAATTTCATCGTAAGAAACAGTTGCATGCGACTTGATCGCCATTGTTCATGTTTTTTTCTTCAAACCGCCGGAGGTTCATGGTGGTGTTAAAGTTATATAAATGTTGTTGTATTAACTAAAAACGTTTTGTTATCTGCATCGTGTGAGTTAGGGTTCAGTTGTTTTTGCACGATGTTATCATACAATTAATCTTAGTTTCTGACAATCCAAATATCATTTTCCAGTCGTCGTGAAGGACATGAGCTCTACAGGAAACACACGTGAAACTACATGTCATATTTGGCTTACCAGGAGTGGAAATTTGTGAACCATTGCAATACCAAGTTAAAAATTGGTCATGAGCCAACCCGCTACAACAACAAAGCTGGAGATTTGGTTACTAAACTTAAGGGGAAGACAAATGAAGGAGGTTACAATGTTGACACATGGGTAAAGGTTGAGAAAGGCAAGCCCAACTTGACGATTGGTCGTGACGCAAGTTACAGGAACATTAAGGTTGTTGTGTTGCATAATAATTGGAATGGGACGACTAAAGAAGGTGGTTACGGTGTTGGCACAAGAGCAAGGGTTGGAAATGGAAACGCGAAGATGATAGTTAACATGGGGGAAAAGGTTGAAAATGGAAAGGCCAACTAGACAGTCTGCCGTGAGGCAAGTTATGACAACACCAAGGCAGTTGTAGTGCCTGACTATGGCAAGGGGAACACAAAAGAAGCTTCCTGTGGTGTTGGCGCAGTAACAAGGGGTGATTCGGGCAAGCCTAACATCACGGTTGGTCGTGAGGCATGTAATGGCTTGATGAAGGCTGGCTTAGTGCCTCATAACAAGAAGGGAATGACAAAAGCGCCTCATAACAATGTAGTATGCCTCATGATAAGGGCAAGGCTAAGATTTCAGTTGGTCGTGAGGCATACTACAATGAGATCAAGGCTTCTTTAGTGCTTGATAATGCGAAGGGGAACAAAATTGTAGGGCGATATGGTGTTGAAGCAGGGTCAAGCGGTGGGAAAGGCAAGGGGACATCCAATGGTCTTGGATGTTCTGTTGAAGTGGAAGGGAGTCCTCGTCATGAATACATAAGCATATCATCGGATAAGGTGAGGTAATGGTTCTTTCATTATTCTTTAACCTGAATAGTTAGTGTAAGAGGTATCAAAGTTTGTCAAGTAACTCAGTTTGATTTAGAATGTTCTTCTGATTGTGTGCAAAAGTGAATGACCTTTACTTCGATGTATGAGGAAGAGTTTGAAGAGAAATGGACCAAGGTGGTCACTGATGCCAAGAAGATGAGGAGAAATGTGCTTGAAAGTCCAGTAGGCATCCGTTTGTAGGATAATATATAGTTCATAATATAAATCTGTAACTGATTTCGATGTTAACATGTGCAGCAAATACCTCGGGGGGAAATCAAGAAATGTCTCCGTGGAAGAATTGGAAACATTGTGCTTTGGGTTGGCAACAAAGTTGTCCCATATTACCTCTACTTGAAGAAGAGGCCAAAGGTTTAGGAGAAGTATCTGTTAGTCGAGTTGTATGATTTTTCCAGCGACATGCTTCTAAAGGAAGCAGACAAGTTGCATTTCCGCATTCGTCATCTGTCGTTGGACAAAGTTATGGTTTCCGTGGAGCGTCACAAGGCTCGTTGAGGACAGGGAAGGTGGGTTGTTGCTATGGTCCATTTTGGAGAAATGCTTGAAGACTTTTTAGCAGACATGTTGATGGTGTATGTTATATTTTGTTGTAGTTATATTCCTATGTAGAAGTTTAACTTCAGGTGCTGTTGCAATGGTGTAGGTTAGATAATGTTAGTAGTACAGTTGGATGTTATGATATGGATGTAATTTTGGATACAGTAGAAGTTGTTTGAGATGTATTTTAATGGCCACTATAGGCCTTGTATGTAAAACTGAATGCATTTTCTTATTAACTAATTAGTTTGGTCCTGTTGGATATATTTACTAATTGGCTGGAAACTGGTGTGGAAGTTGTATGCATCATGTTATTTGAGTAAGATAATCCATAGTTCAAGAGTTTATTATCCTTGTTAAAGTATTGAAACATGTAATACCAGAAGATAGCAGCAGTGGTTCAGTAGCATTTGTACAATTTTTGACAATTGAGCTTATTATAATATTTGATACTTGTGGTATCAATCAAGTGGTACAACATTAACGTGGAACCATTTTAACACTTTTATAATGTTGTGTGGAAATAAATGTAATAAAATTATATGCAAAACAACTTTACACGTGCACGAATAATGGGATAAGCACCAAGGTAATCTTAAATGTGGCATTAAAATACAAAATATTGGTGGATGTGATAAATGTTTGCACCTCAGCTGTACACACATGAATAAAAATAGGTAACAAATAAATATCCTATCTTTAAGTGTAGTACCAGATCTGGAAAAACAATAACACCTCAAGTGCTACAAAGCTCGACCTTATTTTTCAATGGGCAGTTGTGCAAAAGTAGTTCTGCCAGAGCTTGTTGACACCTTAGCAATTGCAAAGATAGGCGTTTAAGTAAGGGTTATTTATAGTTATATTACATTTGCATGGTTATCATGTTAAAGTAACTAACTATATATGCATAAGTTTGAAAGTTAACTCTACAATTTTCATATGATTTGTAGCCATTTGCAGAGATAGAGCCTATGTTTGCGAGAACTCACAGAAGTGATCTAGGAAAAAGGTGGAGGGTTGTAAACAACGATGGCGGCCATCATGAAATAATGTTTAACGAAGATGAGGATCTACCACTTGTTGTAAGTGGCTGGAAGGAGCTGCAGGGATTTGACGAACTACCAAATGATGTGTCTGTCGTTCTTGGCTATTACGGTAACAACACCTTTGATGTTGTCAGGATTAAAGAGAAAACATCATTCAAGAAATTACCAACTTTTCATAGCAGGTTCTTCAACTAGAAAGGGATATATGCCTTTGATATCGATCTATCAACAAATACTTGTAGCGGTAGAAATGTTGAGACTACGCCATTAGATTGACTTGACTCACACAGATCAAATAAAAATCGCCACCACACTTTATTGTTTCCAGAGGAATGGGAAAAGAGAAAATAACCCAAAAAAGAGGGGGAGAGAATCTAGATACGGGAGTTGATTATGCAAAGGGAAGGTATTAGCACCCTAAACATCTAGGGTACTCCGCAGGAACCTCTTTGAAAATTTGTGTATTTTGGTTATATGTGTTGTATAAAAATAGATGGTAGAGATGAGAAAAGAAGTATTTTTTTATACAATTTTTGCATCTTCCGCGGTTGCAAACCTTTAGTGCCTATGTACCACCTTCCATGTAATAGGGGATCATGATACTCGTAGTTCACCTTTTAAAAATTTTAAAACATAAGTGTGTTGGTTAATTTTAAGAGAAGGGACATCATCGTCATATCCGAGTGTAAAACATACTTACTACCCACGATTATGAGAAAGGAGAATTTGCATCATCTCAAATTGGAGGATATAGCTTGGATTTTAAAATCAACAAAGCCTCACTCAACACCCAAGTGGAAAATATCTCACTTCACTATATATCGTAGAAGTGTAGTAACTCGCATCACTATAAGAATCGACAAGAGTTTAATATTTTTGAGAAAAGAGTTTTAAAGTAAAAAAGCCAAAGTGGAAAAAATGGTTTCAATGAGGTTGATTGACTTTTAGTCTTCTCACAAAAAATGTTAAAGTATGATTAAGTTGGTTAAAGTTAGATTAAGAAAATATTTTTGAAAATGCATGGACCTAAGTCCAAGTTTATTATGAAAGCGGTTCAAGTTAGAAAACAAGAAGAGTTTTGAAAAAGAGGGAGAAGATTTTTGAAATTAAAGAAGACGGAAGGAGATGAAGGGACTACCCTAAAGCATAAGGTAAAAGCTAAGGAAAAGAACCGTCTAACCAACAAGAAAAACACTTGACATAAATAGTCAATATAGAATTCTCATCCTTTGGATTGAAACCAAGAAAGCAAAGATACTAAACCTCTTAAGGATACCAAGATTCAGATGCATTAAGTCTTCTAAAAAATTAGGTTGAGTAACAACTGTATACAAAGGAATTCTCAATCACAGACAAAGCACATAATCATAATAACCTGCACACAAAGGAAAGTCAACCCAATGTCTTAGGATAAACCCCAAGAACTTCAGAGAAAATAACAATAGTGTCACAAGGTCCCAAGGGTATCAAATGCTTCTAATCCTAAGTCCAAGAGATCCACAACTTCATAATGCCAAAGATAATAACCAAATAGTCTAAGTAGCCTTAATTTTTTTATGTTTAAGTTGGTTATTAAGTGTATTTAAAAAGAAAAGGAAAGTTCAAGTGAGCAAAATAAAAATGACATAAAGATAAATGCTCAAGTGAGCAAAGATAAAAATAGTATGAAATGTAAATGTTAAAGTAAATGATGCATAAAAGTAAAGGCATAAAGTAAAAGCACAAAGTAAAAGTCAATTGTTAGTGAATTAGAAGTTAGAGAATCGTTGAATGACCATCTTGAAACTTGCATTTGAAAACTAATTAGAAGATTGATAAAATCAAAACTTCTCATCAACAAGTGTCATTTTCTTTTTGTCAAGTATATCATTCATTTATAATACTCAAGACGACCTCACATGATCAACGATGTTTAAATGATTCACTTAGACCAAATTTTATGAAGGTTAATTAGATGATTACAGCCTCCTAACAATGAACCGTAAGGTTATTAGATCCAAGGTTTCAAATTAAATATACTTGGGCTTACAAACAAAGGTTTGAGCCACAAATGATCATTTTTTGAATCAGGACAAATTTAACGCTATGTTAAGCAATCGTAAATGGACTTATGTAGAAATTACACCAATTTTGAGGTCGGTCAATAGCAATCTATGTACCACATGTTAGAGAAATGATATGTAGATTATTCTCCAACAACATGTAGCACAAGTAAGAAAGGGATAAGATGAAAAGGGGGGGGGGGATGTATCGGATGAAATTAGGGTTTCAAATATCATCAACATCATTCATCTATTTTGGTGGATTTGGTTTTTCAACCTATCAACATCCAAGATCCAATGAGATTGAGGAACTTGTCCCAAAATATCATCCAAATCAGGACCAAACAAAAATAATAAAATAATATTTAATAAAACAATATTTAAGAGATTAATAAAAGGGAAATAATTGGTAAAAATACACAAACTATACTAAAACACCAAATAAAAATCTAAAAAAATAGTTAACAGTCAAACATGATTCAATAAGTGTTGACAATTTTTTTTAGAAATTTCTAAAGTTAGAAAATATTTTTAGAATTTAAAGAAATAAGAAAAATAAACCAAAATTTGTGAAAAAATAGTAAAATAAAAAATAAAAATAAAATGAGGTCACCAATATTTGTCAAGAGGTCATTGGATCCTTCGATAATTTTTCTAAAATTTTAAAATCAAGAAAAATATTTTTAAAACAATTAAAACAAGGTAAACAATACAAAATTATAAAAAATATCAAACATCAAAATAAAAATATGAAAAAATATTCACAAAGTCAGAAACAATTCAAAGTATATTTGTGTGTTTTTTCATAATTTTTTGAATAAAAATAAGAGAGTTATGAATTTTTGAACTTAAAACAAATCAAATATAAAAATCAGAAAATAAAATAATATCAATATAATAAGGGCCATCTGATCATAGTCAAAATGCATTAGTAAACAAATCCAAAGGATCAGGCGCGCTGTGCTTGATATGGACCTTAGTGAGAAACACACAGAATCAAACAAATTCAGGCTAATCAAAATAAAATAATTTTCACGCTATCATTGGTTGAAGAACGACACGTAGGTCGTCTTCAACCTCCAAACCTCTGGGCATTAGGTTTTTATGAGTTTTTTCAAATGGAAAAATCAGAAGCTAGTAGTGGTATAATTGGATTCGCCTCTTCAAGAAAATCCTAACCCTACCCTCGCGAAAAATTTCTTTAAAAGACAACTCAGTCGATTTGAAGAAAACCATAAGAAAAAAGTTGGAAAGGGATTCAAAAATTCATGAGTAAAACTCACTTCCAGTTAAAAACTAATGATGCGATCAATATCAGAGTGATGAGAGCTACATTATAGCAACAAATTTAGAGAGAATTGATGGAGAAATCTACTTGTTGAAGATCAAATTTAGTGCTCTAAAACATGACTTGGCTAGCATGATTCACGACACTTCAAGACTTGGTACTTCTTCTGTTAGCTTCAGTGAAGTTCAAGGATGAAGAATCATCAAAGAAATTGGGTCGAAAGAAGTTTTAGAATTGAATTCGAAGTTGCAGAATTATGAGTTATGGAGGGAGTTAAACATAGGTTCTTTGGCTCTCTAAAGCTTGTCTAATAAATTAGATATCATCCTCTACTTATAGGGAAGTGACTGGAATCAAGAGGATGGGTGAATGATGCAATTTGAGCTGAATTCGTACACATCCTGATCATGACAAAAGTCTGACTTGCAAGTTGTCAAAACTCAACCATTCCTTGCGTTTTGATTCTTAATCCAGCATTAGAAACTTGGTTAAACATGTTTAAGTGGAAAGCGCACACAAAATTGCTGATTAGAGGTCACATTATGGAAATCAGATTCTAACTTCAAGAGAAAACTTTAGTTCCAAGGTATTGACTTTGCAGCCATGTTGTAAGCAACTCAGGGACCTTTATGGAATGATTCTTGAAGAATTTGAAAGATCTCACCACAAAATTCACATTGTGCCAAGAAAAAAATCATTTAGAGATATGAGCAAAAAGTTATAATCAATTGAAATCGTTCAAAACACACAGATCTTTGTACTTAGAAATATTTCTAAGTGTTGAACTTCAAAATGACCTATAATGTTCTTCAAAATTACATGACCTTCCACTCAAAATTTAATCTTGATATATGAAGATGGAATGAAGTATACTTCTTGAATTGAATTGTGGAATTAAGATCACTCAAAAATCATAAAAGTTGAAAAACTTGTGGTCTTTAGAAGATGATGAACAAATTTGGGTAAATTGACAAAAGACCTATAATATTTTCAATTCTTTAACCGATTTCAAAGAATCTTCAAGTCTTGCACATAAAAACAAAGTTGTAGTATACATACCAAATATTATTGTTGAAAAAGAATGGGCTCAACGAGATAAAAATTAACCAAGTTATGATCATGTGAAATCAAACCCTAAAATTCAAAAGCCTTTCAAGGAGACTTGTAATCTTTATCAACTTTTAGTGATCTTTAATTCAAAATTAGACTTAGACTTCTGAAGAGAGATTGTTAAGGAACCTTTAAAGAGAATCATGGATTTGAATTCACTCAAAAATCTCAAAAAATGAGCAAGATATGGCCCTTGGAAGTCAAAAAACCCTAACTCAGAAAGTGTCAAAATGACTTGAAACCCCTTTTAACTTTTGATGATTTTTCTTCCACAATTGGATCTTGTCATGTGAATAGAGGTTATTGTAGATGATGATAAGAATCCATAGAAAAAATAACCAACTGAAAATGCACTTGTGATTACTGAATCTAGTATTTGCTCAATTAGATCAAACTTATTGAGTCAATCTTGAATACTTTTGAAATTTCTTGGAAAAATAAGCATGATAAGCCATAAGAGGCCTTGAAATGATGTTGTCTTGAAGCAAACTCAAAGATGGAGCTTAAGTCTCAATGAAGCTTGTTGAAGAAGGCATGGAAATAAACACATGAACCCATGAATTTTCTTGATGACTTCCACCACCAACTTTGAGGAGATCTTGACCTAAATAAAGTGAGAGGGCTCCTTGAACCACAAATCTTTAATGCCATAGACATGACCTTGAAGATTGAGCTCTTGAAATCCATTAGAGAACCATCTGATTGAGAATCACCCCTCAAAATCTAGATAAGATGGTGAGATGAATGCAATTGTG